GACAGATTTATGGGTGGAACAAAAGTGGCGCAAGCTTGGAAAACATTAAAACAGTTTAGGAAAAATGAGAAAAATGAAGACAACATTTCTCTCATAAAGTTAAATGAATGGGAAGAATATTATACGAAACTGCTGAAAGAGGATAGAGTAGAGTACAGATGGGAAAAGATAAGGGAATTAATAGACAACAGAGACGAAAGACAGGAAATCCCTATAATAACATTATCTGAATTGACGGAAACCTTAAAAGAGGTTAAAAGGGCTGGAGACATTCCCATAGAGCTGGTTAAATATGGGCCGACTGCACTTTTAGAATTAATAGTAGACCTTTTCAATAAATGTATGTGTGGAGACCAGGAAATTCCTAAAGATTGGAATAAATCTTATATAAGCTCCATATATAAGAGAGGGAATAAAAGAGACTGTTCCAATTATAGAGGTATTAGTGTGACGAGCTCTGTGGGCCGGTTGTACGGCAGAATATTAAAGAAGAGGGTTGAAAGACAGATACAAGATATTGAAGAACAAAGCGGCTTTCGTACCGGGAGATCCTGCCTTGATAATATATTTATCCTACGACAAATCATTGAAAAGCGTGTCGAAAGAAGTAGAGAGACCCATTTGGTATTTATAGACCTTGAGAAAGCATATGATAGTGTCCCGTTAAAGAAAATGTTTGAGGTCCTCAAAAGGTCCGGATTGGATTCGACGTATATCCGAGCGATATATAAATTGTACGAAAATGCAGTTAGTTATGTAAAAATTGGAACCAGAACCTCAAATGAATTTAAAGTCACTAAAGGCCTAAAGCAAGGATGCTGTTTGTCACCGACACTCTTTAAAATATACGTCCAAGAAGCATTGAGGAATTGGAGAAATAAATGTAGATTTATGGGCATCGAAGTGGGACAAGAAACTCTGTATACATTGTTGTTTGCAGATGATCAGGTGGTGGTTGCAACCGATGAGGAAGATATAAATTATATGAATCGAAAATTATTTGAGGAATATGCCAAATGGGGGCTTACTGTAAACATAAGCAAAACAGAATATTTAAAAATTGGAGGAAATACCACAGATCTGAGGCTTGAAAACGCAGTCATAAAAGGCTGCAACCAGTACAAATATCTAGGAAGCATCATATCAGCAGATGGCAGAGTTAAGATAGATGTACAAAACCGAATAACCCAAGGGAAAAAATGCATCCGAATACTGAATTCATTACTGTGGTCTAATAAAATAAAGATGCATACTAAACTTCGTCTATACAGAGCAATTGTAGAACCAATTACCACATATGGTGCCGAATGTTGGAAGATGACAAAGCATGAACGAGATAAAGTAGACGTTGTGGAAATGGATTATCTTAGAAGGTCATGTCGAGTATCGGGAATGGAAAGAATCAGGAATGAGGAAATACGAAACCGTACAGGAATTAGAGATACTCTTTCAGATAGAATACAAGGAAGGCAATTACAATGGTATGGTCACGTGATGAGAATGGAGGAGGAGCGGTGGCCAAAGAAAGCCTTAATGTATGTTCCGCCAGAAAGAAGGAAAAGGGGAAGACCACCAAATTCCTGGAGAAGAGAAATTACAAAAACAATGCAATCTAGAGGCTTAGAAGAGGGAGATTGGGGAGATAGGAAAAGATGGAGGCTGAAATGCGGGAAGCGGCAATCGCCGTAGGACCCCCGTTATATGATGATGATGATGACTATATGTGCTACGAGTAACGGGCCTTACCGAAAAAGAAGAGTTCCTAGGAGACAATATAACGTTGGGAGCCCGTTTGGAAGAATAGCTTTGGACATTGCTGGGCCATTTCCAGAAAGTGAAAATGGAGGCAAGTACATGTTGGTAGTAATGGATTAGTTCCATAAGTGGGTCGAGATTTACGCACTTCCGACCAGAAGGCCGCAACCATTGCAGATAAGTTGATCAAAGAATATATCAGCCGATTTTGAGTGCCTTTGGAGATCCATAGTGACCAAGGAAAGAACTTCGAAAGCGATCTATTCCAAGGAATATGTGATAGACTAGGCATGAAGAAAACAAGAACTACAGCATATCATCCGCAATCGGATGGTATGGTAGAACGGATGAATAGGACAGTTGGCAAGATGGTGTCCGATCATCAGCGAGACTGGGACCAATATCTTCCGTTTTTCACAATTGCCTACAGATCTGCTGTTAACGAATCAACAGGCCAGACACCAGCCAGAGTCCTATTCGGACTCGAGATGCGACTACCTTGTGATCTAGAGTTTGGGTGTCGACCTGGAGAAGATGTGGCAAGTGAAGATTATGTGATCGAATTACGAAGAAGAATGGACGAGGTACACGAGTTGGTCCGTTCCCATCTTCAGATCGCTAGCGACTGAAGAAACGGTAAGATACGCATGCCGAAAAGGGGTGCTTTAAGAAGAACGACAAAGTCTGGCTCTATAATCCCAAGAAGCGAAGGAGTTGTTCTCCCAAGTTGCAGCAGTTTTAGGAAGGTCCAACTTCATTATGGAGAAGATCAACGATGTCATCTACCGAATAAGCAAGATTTCGAGGGAAAAGCCGATGATAGAAAAGCAAGATTTACTCGCGCTTCCCGATGACTTATCACTGGCCCTTACCATCCCGGCCAGTATCAAAGACGCACCAGGGTAGGCATCCGTCTTTCGAAGAAAATTCGGTTGAGTTGCAGAACTTCAATGCCAAGTGCCAGCTCCCGGGAAAGCCTTGAAACTCCAAGATGCATCACGTTACCTTTTCTACCTGGTAACAAAAGACACTGCCCGTGACCAACCTACCTACCGAGATGTATGGGAAGTCTTACTTCAATTGAGAGAGTACGTACTAGAGTCCGACGTGCAAAAGTTAGCCATGCCAGAGTTAGAGTGCGCCAATTAGATTGGAAGGTTATCCGAAATATGGTGGAGGACATCGAAAAACACCAAAGTCCAGGTGTTAGCCTGTTGGAATCCGCATAGTTACTGGTGCGGAGAGAAAACCGTCCCTTATCATTTTTATACAACTGGAAGTTGTAAAAGAGGGTGGCAATGTTACGATAAATATGACTCATAACTAAACTGTAAACATATTTTTTCTAACAAGTATTTTCTAGTAGGGCCCCTCCGATGAAACCTATATTTTTATCGAAAGCAGCTAGTCTGAAAATAATAATTGTATCGAGTTTGAATTGTAACGCGGAAATAAATTATATAAATGGTGTAAATAGTGTAAAATAAATTAGTTTAAGACTTTATATAAATTAAATAAAGACTCTAATAAACTAAGTGTTAGAACATTATTTTATAATAAGTAAAGTTAATAAATTAGATTTATAAAAATAGTTCAATACTATTTTTAACTTCTCATGAGACTGGACACAAAAATTCGTAAGAAGGAGGTAAAAAGTATCGCAGTTCCCCTTCTCCTTCACCCAAAGAATAGGAAATAATGCCAACAGTGAAAGGGAGAAAGCTAGTACATCTATTGCTTATAGAACGTAAAGTGTTTGGTAAGACAATGCTACGACTAATAATGGAAGGAAAAATAACGAGCCAGCACAGTATTGGAAGGAGAATTTCTTGGCTTAGAAAGTGTTTTAGTATGAGGGCCACTTAATTATTCATGACAGCTGTGAATAAAGTTAGAATCGCCGTCATTATTTCCAACCTCCGATATGAGAAGGAACTTCAAGAAAAGAAGGAAATGTGTAGAAAAAAAAATAGAGATATATGGTTTACATCAATTGGTGTTCAGAAACGGAGTACTGTCCTGTGCAATTCGATGACGAGCACCAATGTTAAATTGCGAGCACCAACGATAAAATGGCGATAAAACCAACGAGCACCAGCTGAGCGCGCAATCAACGGTTGAAAATGTCTATCTCTGTCGAAGCGAAGAAGAATTATACAGTTTTGTTTATATAAGTTTATTATATATATATATATATATATATATATATATATATATATATATATATATATATATATATATATATATTCGGTTTTATAACGTCTTACGACGTTGTCCGACTCCCAGACGCCACTGTATTCTGTCTTGAGTTAGGTCTTCGTCCAGATTTCGAGCGCTAATCGCTTTCCTAACTCCCAGGTTCCAGCTCTGTGGTGGTCTTCCTCGTTTCCTCTTCTCTGGTGGTTGCCACATCATCGTTTTTTTAGGCAATCTTTCGTCCCCCATTCGGCTCACATGCCTATACCATATGAGCTGTTTTCTCTCAATATCCTCAACTATAGTGCCCTCTATACCCATTTGTTTTATCACTTCATTCCGTATTCTGTCGGCTCTTGATATTCTCATCGATCTTCTGATGGCATCCATTTCCGTGGCTTCGACCTTTTTCTTATATTTCTCGGTTATTCTCCATGTCTCAGCTCCATAAAGTAGGCTAGTTTTAACCATTGTCTCATAGATGTTCTATTTTCTTTTCTTTGATATTTCTTTACTCCACAGAACTCCGTTCAAACATGCTATAGCTCTTCGTGCTTGTACAATTCGATGTTCTATTTCTCGTTCGTCTTTTCCACCACGGTCGAAGATGACGCCCAGGTATTTATATTCGTCACATGGATTTATTTTTTGATTGTCATCGATATCGAGTTGTTCTGCTTCAGCTCCAATTGAGAGGTATTTTGTCTTTTCTAAATTGATATTTAATCCCCATTTCTGGTATTCTTCAATTAGTTTTCTAAGCATGTATTCCATGTCGTCTTTGTCATTTGAGAGCATAAGTTCATTATTCTATTGTAAATCCAATGTTCAATAAATAAATGACTTAACATCGTCATGATGATGTCCAATATCCTGAACGGAATGGCACCACAAGAAGAAAAATGTTGAAAAACAAAACCTCTAATTTTTAAGCATAAATTGTTGTTTTTACCAGTTTCGGACCAAGAACTTTTCAGACCACTCTCGTTATACTTATATAATATTATTGGATATGTATAATCCTTATTATTGAAATAATAGTGACTTACCTCTACAATAAAACTTCTTAGTCGTTCTAGCTTTGATCCCAAATAATTATATGCAGTTGTATCACTATCGAGTAGAACAATAACATCAAAGGAATCTCTCTTTTCCCACACCTCTTGAATTGACTTATTCAAACGCAATCCCAATGTGTTAGCTGAGAGGCTAGAATAAAGTCTTTGGAGTAAAAAACTTTTTCTATTTGGATAACATAGTAAGAAGTCATTATGTAATTCTTTTTAAATTTGTAAAAGGACACGAAATAAATATATAACTTAAGAATATTACAATTTCAGTGTTTCAGTGTCTAATTTAATAATTTTAATAATAATTTCGAAGATTTCAATGATTTGTCCATATAGGAGAAAGTAGAGTAAAATGGTCCCCTAACATATTTCTCATAATTTTCATATAAGCGCCGTTTAGCTTTCTTTGTTATATTCAGTACTACTAGCGCCACCTATGTACGAAACTGTGAAGATGTGCGAAGCATAGCATAATACGCTAGTTTTAATATATTCTATACAAACACATGTAATATTGCTAATTTCGTGTTCGCAAAAGTTGTGTTTTTATGCATTTTAATTAAAGTAAGTGAATTTTTTTGAATGCAGTTTAAAAAGGTGTTTTTTCTGTTTATTTTATATTTGTTGCAATTATCAAAAGTCACTGATGTAAATTAGTTTTTATATTGGATCGGATTTTGATGTAAAAATGACCCCTCCATGTTGAGGCAAAATGACCCCAGGGACCATTTTACCCTTGCTTAGCTTACCAAATAAAGTTTTGAGTTATACTGGAATACTTTTATAACAATAAAATCTAGGTATATTATCTTTACAGAAATAATGGTTAGAACTTATACTCAAAAGATGACAAGACAACAATGGAATTCAAATTCAATATGACTTGCCTTGGAAAATATTTGTAATGGCATGCCTTTTTAAATAGCTGCTAGGCTATCTGCCTATGAGTACTTAAAAAAGAGCCAAAACTCAAAATGTACTAGTAACTGAACTAAAAGTAGACTACTTTATTCATAGGCAACAGAATATTCGAAAAGCCTTGCTGGATTTACTACAACATTGCCCAAAGAATTGGAGACTTACTTAAAGGAGTATGTTTTAGAGATAAAAGACCGACTATTTGAGATGACAAGGAAAACATTTGTAAAATGACCTACGATCTTGCAGAGAGGAATTGTATTAAACACAAGTTTTCCAAAAACAAAAAGTCAGCTGGAACGGCTTTGTTTAGAGACTTTCTAAAGAGATATCCAAAGATTTCTTTTGGAACTCCTGAAGCGACTTAGCCGCCAGAGCGAGAGGTTTTAATAAAGAGGCATCGCTAGTTTGTAGGAACACCTGTCGATATATCTCTAAGATTATTACTATTCATTGTCATATACAGTTGTCTGCTTTTCGAGTTTATTAATCTTTTTTTAATTGCCGTATTGCCAGATTCCAGTAAAAGCCTAAGAAGGTATCCATTGAATTCTGACAGGCAACGGTGGGGGAAATCTTTTTTGAACATCTACGTCACGGAACAAGACACCCTGGCATCTTTCGGCCGAGTAGGATACTAGGCTAGAAGACCTCAGGGTAGTGCCGGATTAACCGTGTTCTGGCTAAAACCTTAACCACCGTTCCAGAGAGGTGGTCTTGCCACTCAATAAACAACTAAAATAAAAATCTAAAATTTATAAATAACCATACCTATTACCGTAAATCAGAAAATGTTTCAGACGGTAGGCCATAAACTAATAAATAATATTAACCATAAATTTCATATTCCTAGCTCAATTTCCTCCTCTGTCCTCCTGCTTCTTGTTCTTCATCACCCCAGAAATCAGACAGTGTACTTCTCTTCATTCTTTCTCTCATCTCAACATTATGTTTACAATGTTTTTTTCATCCAGCCCGAAACCCATTCGTCTCTCCAAATCTCCCCTCTCATTTGCCCATCTCTGGCAGTTAAAAATGTGGGCGGGAGCGTCCGATACCCCACAAACACTACAGTTTGCCGAGGCAGATCTGCCTATTCTATTTGTGAAGGTGCCAAAACTACCATGTCCGGTCAGAAACTGCGTCAAGAAGTAGTTTAAATTTATAATTTATTAACCTAGATCCCAGTAAGTTTGTTTAGCACTGTATTCGCTCCCACAAGAAACCTATTGCCGAGTGTGTTGAACTCTTGATATTGCTGTTTCTTTGTGTGCCGTGGCGGGCTGTAAATGGTACTAATAGTCAGTGAACCGTTCCAGTTATCAATGTTAACGCTAGTTGCTTGGATATAGTTTTTACGAAATTAATTTATTTGGTGATGCTTATAGTTGGCCTAATTATAATTTCAGTTCCTCTACATGTCCGCCATCTGCATGCTTTGTATTATATATCAAGTAATTTGGAATTTTGATGTAACTTCGATCTGTAAAATGAGTTTTAGATTAATATTATGTCAATCTTGTGATTTTTTATAAAAGATTTGACCTCATAGGCATGTTATACTAGCCTGTTGGCGTTCCAAATGGCTATTTTCATGAACGTTTAGCATAGTGCCCATTTGTTCCATTAGTATTTTTACCATGCCTTTTAGTTCCTTTATATCGTTTGTGGTTTTTGTTTGGCTCATATTGGTACTCTGTATTTCGTGAAAATTCTTGTTACAGTCTTGTTACTTAAGCAAAGCTGATTCCAAAGTTGGCAGTATGGTTCCAAATCACTGGGGTATCTGCTTTTTTTGGTGAGGCAGTTATATTATGGCCTTATGGTTCATCAAGTAATCTGTTTCATATATTCCTTTGTTGTTTTCAGCGGGTTTTAGATCAATAAAGAACATCGGAAGCTAGGTTTTGGTTTTAGGATGTCTGCTATTCCAAATGTTTGTACCAATATGACCAAGTTCTTCCAACTGTTTTTAAATAATTTGTGTCAATCGAGTGGCGCAAATTTTTGAGTACGACCCTGAAACTGCAATCATTCTTCATCTGATATTTCATCTGGTCAAAATTTAGAACTTTTAGTTCATAATAATTTTTGGCTTTTAGTTTTAGTAGCCCCATTAGTGGAGTTATGCTTTTTACTACTTGAATAAATATTGGTGGAAGTTAAGGTATCACTGGTTCCTCATCGTCTTTGCTTAGAATTTCAAATTTATTAAAAGTAGATGCTGGCATGTTCAGACAGTAATTGTTGATTTTTAAATGTTTTATGACTCTTTTGTCTTTGCTGGTTGATGTCTTTTATTTGGATTTTCAATGGCTTTCCAAGTTTCAGTTGGGTTTTTAGTGGTAGGAGGTGGGTTATAGTATTGGGGTTGTTGCAGTGGTTTCGAATATGCTGTGGTTGACGGTTGAGAAATATGAACATTACCTTGTAATTGTTGAGCATTGTACGATCAACAATTCGATAACTTTTATTTTACTAACGAAAAGTAGTTTAATTACCCCCGCCTTTTGAATGATTTTAAGATTTTTGGAATTTGCTGCTGTAATTAAAATGTCACCTATCCATCTTATACATTACAGGATAGACAACAGTTATTAAGACACTTTACTATTATATTTTTATATTTTATTTACTTTTTAACTGCTTTTTAATGCTAATTTATAGGAGCTCAAATTAAAACTTGTTGGCTTTTTTAACTCGCTAGGATGAATATGAGTTTTCTGATAAATTAGAATTATTACTTACTTACCCAGGCACTATCACTTCTTCGGGTATATTGATAAGGGTCCCCATTTTACAATTAATTCTGCAAGCTTGGTAATGCTTGTTAGGTCTTATATCAACTAATAAAAAATTTTGGTTTTTCTGGAGCAGATTAAATAGATCAAGGGGTCCAATAAATTTGTCTATAATAAAATAAAAACAATTTTTCATCCAATATATTTAATTAAGTATATTAAGCACAATAAGAAAATAAAATCTACCTTGAAACTTTCTTTTCTCTGTTGGTGATTCATCTTTTTCTTTGGAAACTGGTACTGAGGAAAGTTCAGAAGAATTCACTATGTTATTTTCTAGTATTAACTGTTTATATCTAAAAAGAATTTTAATAAAACATTTTTGGTATTTGACATTTTATATATCTTCACAGAGTCACAAAATTATCATAGCCACTGCGACTTGTATTTTCACCTCTATTTGATTTGCTTTTCCACATGAAAAATGAGAACTATACAGTGCGTCCACAGATACGGTGCTCAAGAGAAGAAATTTTTATTATTTTTAATTTTAGCAAAGAATGTCATTCTTGATAAGAACTTTCACTTGTTATAAAATCACTGTGTTAAATTCTTTTAAACTTTTGAATAAACTTTCTCCTCTTGGACGTATGTGACACCCCACATACAGACACACTGTATACACCTCATATTTTACAGATCTTATTACATTGTTTAGTGCAGTGGCGCACCCAGAATTTGCCTAAGGGGGGGTTTGGAAACTTTTTTATGCTACCTTCATTTTGAGTCCCTAAAATTTGGGTTTTAGTTTAATTTAAAGTACTAAAGATAGCAGTACCAAAGACTCAGGTATTTATTATCCTGCCTACCAACTGAAACCACCATCTCTTACTTGTCGCACGTACCGTACTCCGAAAGTGAGGTGGCCGCTATAAGGCTGACGACATTTTTGTAACACTCCCGTCTCTTATCTAGATCTTATCTATTGTTCTGAAGCTATTTTCTTGTAGCATTTTCAAGTAATTACGATTTTAATGGAAATAAGCCACAATTGAAGGTTAAAACAAGTTTATTGACGTTTGACATTAATGTTTGTAAGGTAAGTAAGCCAAATATTGCCACCTTACCGTTTGGTTCCAAATAAATCCTACAGTTTTATTAGTAAATGAAAACAAATTTGAGTAGTAGTAAAGAAATGTATTTTTTTAACAATATATTTTAATTATATCAAAAAACTAAATAAAGAATAATTGATGGATTCGACCGTTACTTGATGGGAATTCATTTTCAGTGTTTTATTGTTAAATAAAGAATACTTTTTATTGACGTTGCGAATGGCAATATTAGGATTATAGATCTCATTGCCACCCATGTCAATATTAAGCACTGCAGAACTACAGTTAACAGTAACACATTTAAAAAAAAAAAATAAAGACAATTAAATAATATAAACGTAAGAAACATTTCTGAAAAATATAACTTAAGAACAGTGAGGGCAAGTAAACTTTTCTTTGTCATCTTTAGTCAGTCCTACATAGGCCTCGTAAATATAACGACAGCATACTATGTACAAGCGCATATCTTCGTTACTGCAGATGTTACAAAGAAAACAATACCAAGATTCTTCATTACTTGATTTTTTTGTCGTACTGCTCATTGCTTTTTTCAGAACTTTGATTGGCTTATTCAATTTTGGTATTGGTGCTAACAAATCTTTGGTAACTTGATGGGTTTTACTGTTTAAAGCTGGCTTTATCTTTAGAGCTGCTGCTGATCCTCTTAGATCTTTTCATAAGTACATCTTAACTAAAGACATCGTCAAGTGAGTCATCGTAAAGACTAAAATCTGATAATAATTCGCTACTTGAGACAGTAATTAAACTCTTCTTTTTTTTGTTATTAGTTTTCTCTGGCACTTGATATCCGTTTGTACTCGCCTCGTTTTTATATGAGGGTTCAACCGACTTGCTAGAACAACATCTGATAAATCTTGGAAGCTACTGTGATTTACTTTGTCTCTATGAGTGATCAAATTTTGTGCAAGGGCAGCTTAAGGTATAGCGTCTGGATTAAACACATAAATGCCGATAAATTCAAAACCGGAGATAATGGTTGATGCTTTTGGTTAAAATAGAGTAAAAAATTTCTCCAAACCTCATTTTGGTAATCGCCTTGCCAGGGTTTGTTGCAAAAAATTGTAGTGTGTAAAAACTTCTTGGTCCCAAAGTGTCTTAAAGCTTTTAAACACTGATTTGTCCATAGGTTGCAACTCGTGTGACATGTTGCTAGGAAGACAAAATAAAGTTATGTCCATGCGGTTAGCTGCCTCAACTATGGAAATATCTAGGTGATTTTAAGCTCCATCATTAGTAGGGTAGGACCAGGGTTTCTGAATGAAAAGAAATGGTCAAGCCACAAAACAAATGGTTCGCATGTCATACTACCTTGATTTGTGACAATAGCTTTTGAGTCAGGGGGCAAGTGATCAGACCATTTATTTTAGGTTTAAATCTTTGGCCTTTAAATAGCATAAAAGGCGGTACAGGTTGACCAAGCGCATTTCCGCAACCTACAATCTACATGTTTTCTCCGTGCTCCCCTTATAACAAAAACAATTTGTTGCTTATGGATTGTCAATCTGCATCCCTTTTTCGTCCATAATATATATGCTACCAGGTTTGTCAACTAGGTAGCTATTTAGGTTTAGTTTTTCTATCGTATCTCTCAGTTTATGAAAGAAGTCATCAACAAATATTATATTAATTTTTTTGGCTCGATCCGTATTCATTAGTTGAGCTTTTCGCCTAGCTCAACTATGCCTGGATGGCTGCACAAGAATTACTTAAGCCATATTCTACCAGCTTTATTTGACTCTTTAGAATAAAAAACTGATTTGGTATATGTTTTGTTGTAGCGTAAGAAAACACACTTTTCGTTAGAATCTTGCTTGTAATAGGCATATCTAGTTCAACTAATGTGTAAATTCTTTCGACAAGATCATTTCTTGTGCTGCAGACAACACCAGTGATATTCCAAGCTTTATTACGAGATTATGTGTTCTGTGATAAAGACCTAGCGTTGAGCAAGGAATGTTATAATGCTTGGCAGTCCTTTCGCTATGATTTACAGTAACAAGCATAGATTTTCTTTTGATCACTCAGCTCATTTTCTTGGCATTCTGCAAAAGAGTTTAATATTTAGTCCCTAATATTGTCACTGGTAATATTAGGAATTATTAGTAATGGCAATATTAGGAAAAAATGACGTTCAGAAAAAAAAATTGTAAGTTAAAATATTATTTGAAATAATTCATGCAATTCATAAAATAATAACCACTGGAGTGTACTTACCTAAACTTAATTACAACAATCTAAAAACATTTAATATATCTTGCGTAGGGTCAACGGGAAAAGCAGGTTTATTTAAAACGAGGACACGAAAAACAAATAGCAGGTTTCTACATCTGATGGATACTAAAGACTAAAACAACCGAATAGAAAACATGTTGCTGATAGACAAAGACACTTGCCACTGTTGCCACCTTAGTTTCAGTGTCGATACTATCTTTAATACGGGGTGGCACTATTAATAACAGTGGTAATATTTAGTGCACATATCTTATTTTGAGAACAAATTCTGAAGTGGAGATTCAAATGTCAATAAACTTATTTTAACCTTTAATTGTGGCGTATTCCAATTAAAATAGTAATTAGATCTTATCTCTGTTGTTGGTCTGGTTGATGTTTCTCTTCTTCTTGTGAACACTATTCCATCCCTCCGTACTCCCGTCATCTTCACAATCATCCCTCTTACAGTCACACGGTTCATACCTATTTCTTTATACATTTTGTTTCTCTCCACTGTACAACTATTACACTCCAGCATTGTGTGAGTAACAATGTCGGATTATTCGCAGTATAGGCATTTATCTGTATCTGTCTTTCTGAACCTAGGAAGATACATCCTAAAAAAGACAATCTACCCAGTACCTTAGTCTCAGGATCATCATCTTGGTGAAAATTAATTGTGGTTCTCATGTCATATTTGCACAAATTTTACTAAATTACTAGTTTTATCAGATTAAAATCAAATTTTTATGTAAAAAAAATAAGTGAAATATTTACCGTTCTTGTAGACTATCTTTAAGATCCATGCTAAGTTGTTCAACTCGACGGTAATCATTTGAATACATTACCTTTAAATAATTTTGATCATTTGATATTTTAAATAAGTGATCCATGAGATGTATGTATCGTTTACACAAGATATAACATTTTTCTTGATCATCCTGGCACTGCATTAGCTCTGCCAACATCTTGTTTGAAAAATTGGAGACCCTGTATATACAAAAATAGGTTACAAATATCTTGAATAACCAATAAAATACATTCATATCAATATAACACACAGTGGGCTTTCTTCTTCTCCTAATCATTCATATTCTTAGGTGTGCAAGAAATAAAGTTTTGCTGGTATTCTAAGTAGTAGTGTCTCATTTTTCAATTACAGCTCCCACCACTTCATTATGGGTAGATAATCTAAGTCTACAACCAACTACAACATTGATAATAAAATATGCTAAATGGGGTGGCTGGGACTGTTAAGAATTAGCCTTGTGTTGCATGAATAAAAAATTTGGGACACAAAAGGAGCAAATTGCATTACAAATTTAAGTTACATATTTGCAGCTAATAATGAGCATTCATAGATATTACAAATCTATGAACCAGCTATGTATGAGACAGGTGTCTCATACATAACATCGCAGGATACAATCTATCCCCAAAACAAATAACACCTTTGAAAAAATTTTGCAAATCCTGTTCTTTAATTAACATGCTTAAATCTGTTGGAAGTTTTAATCTTTTGTTTAGTCAATAAACAAAATTGTTATCAACAGTCAAATATTAGTGCTTATACATACATTTACTTGTATGCTAAAAAAGAAAAGAAATAAAATAGGATTTTAAAAGAAACTTCATCACTTGTGATATTGTGTCTTGTGACTTTTCCAGATCACTTGAATGGTAATTGATACATATTTAACTTGTTTAATATGGATAAAAACGTTAAGGTAAGTAGGACACATATTGTATATTGATATACCTATTCTTTAAATGTAGGTACACTTGCCTGTTAAATTTTTGTAAGCCATTGATAATTTTATCTCTTTGAGCTAGACTATCTAGGCTAGTTAAATTATTTGAAATATATAATTTTTTTAACTTCATTTTTACGAAAAATTAGATCTTTCTTTAACAAATTTTATAAAAACATAACCTCGTTATTTAATTTCAACCAATTACTTATTTACTTGTTTTGAAACTGAAACTGTTCCTGTTACCCCATTGGTATTTAGTCACAGAATAAATTAAAATGATATCATATCATAGAACAGTTTTTAATGACATGACCTCTCTCATCGGTGCGGTCTCCGTTATACGATTGTCGCATGCGTTCGACGCAAGCAGCAGTCGCAAGCGATTAACGCACTGGTTGGGGTGGTCTCTCTTAAGCATTTAGACGTATGCGATAGATCAGCTGATATTGAACTAAACGGCGGGAATTTTTATAATAATGGAGCATCTACAGAGACAAGTTTATCTTCATAATTAAAAGAGCAAGAATTTGAGACATTTTAAAAATGATGCTAAATAACTCAAAAAAGAGATGTATGTGAGGAGGGTTGAAGAAGGATACCAATCCAATTTTATAAGTAAATATCTGGTTGATGATGATGATTTTGTATTATGTGCTATTAAGGAAGATATATCAAAATCTCCTTCAAAAATCTAATGAAGCCCTACAATAAAGTACAGGCCAAGAGGGACTTCCAAAAAGCTGTATTTAATTATCGCCTATGTAGAGCTAGACTGGTATCTAAAAATTGTAGCTATTGTAAACCTACAATTGTAGAATAAAAGTTGTAGCTAAAAATGCTTTTGGACTTATTAGTCAAGTTTTTCGAATGTTTTACAATCCAGTCCCTGTTAAAACACACTTGCGATTTTTTAATTTTAGCAGCGTGCCTCTTACACAATTTAATTAGAAATCATGGTGGTAGAATATCTTCTCATCACTGCAATGAAGCTGGTAGGAGCATAAATTTGAATAGAAGTGGAGGTTTTGCCCAAAATTAAGGTTTCAGTGTACGAGACGAATTTAACAGTTTTTGTGATTGAGGGTAAAGTGGAATGGCAAGAAAGAAAAATGGGACAGAGTGAAATATTAGAATAGATCAGTAAAATGTTACATGATGAATTATTGTTTTTTTTTGTACAGTAATGTAGATGATGATTATTACAATTATAAACTTTTAATATTTATTACTATACTTACAGGGAATAAATCCCAATATTATTTAGAATGATCTCGTATTTAACATCAATTTCCAGATCAGAAATTGCTATCAAAATAAAAAGTAAATAAGTTATTTATTTTGTATGATAATGATTTCCTAAGTGGAAATTAAAATGTCTAATAAAAAGATTATTTTAGATAATATTGTACTGTATTAGTAGTAAATGTTAAAATTTGACACAACAAATTTTAAGTATAGGTACTGCTCCAATAAATAATTATGAATATAGATATCTTACAACACATATGTGCTATGTTTGTCACAAGGAATTTTGAGAAAACTAAAAGTAAATTAATATTTTTGTTGATGTTTTAATGTCGAGTTCAGAGCTCATTTCTAAAATATTCCTTAGAATGAGTTCGGGACTGGCAAAAAGGTCTATAAAATACTAATTTTAGTTTGCTTTTACTTTTTTTAAATGTTGCTTGTAACTGATATAGCTTAATTGTGTCTTAAGGATTTGATATCAAGTTAGGAACTACTTCAGAAATTGTCACATATTAAATATCGATTTTAAATGACTTTCTTTTTCTAAAAATACTTATTATTAAACTCTACAAACTACTATTTACTAAAATGCACATTTGAGCTTTTGTTTAACCAAAGAATCAGGTGTTGATAACCTACAAACTTTCAATTGAAGGGGTCAGAAGCAAAACCGCCTAAGTAGCAAAATACACATTTTGAGAAATAAAGCATCAAAGTTTTTGCTCTTTTAAAAATTTTGGATGTTCAAAATTAAAAATTTTAAAGTATTACATTAAACAATTCAAAATAAGTATAACATTTTATAGATACTTCTGGTGAGAAATTATTTTAGTTTTTTTTACCTCTTTCGACAAAAAAATGCACTTAGGCTGTTTTACCTTTGAGCAAAAATGGATTTATAATACACAAAAAGAACTAAACAAAAGCTTAATTTTCAATTAATATTTATTTTTTCTTAAAAAAAAAATACAAATTTTACTTTTTTATAACACCAGAGTTACACATAATCTGAGAAAAAACCTATGTAGTCGTCTTGTTCGACGTTGGCATCTTCTTTGAAAGACTTAACAGCAGTGCTTCCTTTTTTCATTGTGTTTTTTTGCTGCTTTGACTTCTGCGGCAAATCATTATAAAATTGATGGTAAATGGAGGTATGAACTCTAGCAGCTGTTATAAATTTTGCCATTTTTGATACTTAAATTGTCTCGTACTTCTTTTTTCGTCTTCAGTTGATGATGATATTATCATCATCATTTATCGATCGCATTTATAACAAGAGTTGAATGAGGATGGTGAAATTTTAAATTTAATTCAGTATTGAAAATATAATCCCTCATCCCTTCCTGGGGTTTATCGTTATCAGTGCAATTATTATCTTTGTAAAGACCATACATTTTGCGAATGTTTAAATCGGACGAAAGGTATTTCGTATTTGGATTTTGATTATAAGAGTAATGACTCCTATTACGTAGTAATGATCTGATATATTCAATCACTATTTTTCTTGCGTTCTCTGATACTTTGTTGTTTGGGACATATTTTCTTCTTTTATCAGGCTCCACAAAATTGTTTTTGTTAACTTTTTTACACATAACCTTAAAGCGACTGTCTCTGATATCAAAAGTTTTTAGGAAAAAGTCTGCATACACGGCGGTCAAGAAGTTTAATTTCTGTACTGTATTTTTTTGCTATTAGCCAGTTTTTTTAGGTTCAGTTTTTCTGATATATGAAGCTAAAAAAGCTGTTTGCAGGTTGGTAAACTGTCCAACTTAGAGAAGAGTCGTTTACTTTCAATGTCGTTAAATATTCCACATTGGTACCTACACGTATGCATATACTCCTGGACACATTTCTTTCTCTTCAATTTTTCTCTGCTTTCATATTCTTGGCCAGCAAGCCCCTTATTTGTGATTTTATTCCTCTTCCATGCGTGTATTTTACGCTTCCTTTTTCGGTAAATTTTAGTAATTACTTAAAAGGAAAAATATGTTAACTTCGAAATTTCTAAAAGTACATAACTGTAAGGTAGGTACTAAATTTACCGGTATTTACAAGTTTAATATTTACATAAATTAATTTTTGTTAGGGATATTATGCTTAAATTAAAACTAACAAGCTAAAACACACACTTTTACTACTCAAATATTATACTCCACATGTGTGCTTATAGTTGCTTCCTCGGCAGATATTATAGAATTATCGCTGTCGTTATCTTCTTCAATAATCTCGGAATAAAATCAGATTCTCCATCTGTAGCGTATGGATCACTATCTGACTCTAAAAATAATATCAAAACTCAAAAAACATGATACAAATATTATAATGACAAAATATATCATTTCTGCAAACAATAGTATCACTTGAAACACTGCTGTTAATCTACTAAAGAAGTATAACCTACACGCCATAAGCAAATCCAAACCGTTGAGTGGAACCCAAACAACATAAGTAATAAAAATATATTTATATCCAGCCGCTTGTTTGGAGGTAAAACAGCCTAGGTGCTCTAAGGCGATTTCTGCTCTTAACGATTGGTGAATTTCATTTTGGTTGTTTTTTCTATTCATCAAAAGATGGCGATAAAGTAGGGTTGGAGCGTAGTCGATTTTACTACCAAACAATATAAGATAATATTCAGAACGTGAAACATCACTAAAGTCGTTTTGGTGAAAATTTTACTTAGGCGGTTTTACTTCTAACCCCTTCAATTCTATGTAAAATTTTTTAGTGTTTTATGAAATAGACGCATGCAGTCGCTGCAGACCACTGCTATCATATGCAGTCGATGGAGCAGACACATGCGATTCCTTGCGTCGGATGCATAAAGCCAGAGATATTTCGAAAATCTATTTTGAATTATTTTTATTTTGTTACCATTATTGTATCTTTTCCAGTTCTAATTTATGGGTTTATCATAACTATGTACATATTTTTAGTTTTTTTTTAATTGTTCTTCGTTATTGTTAGTAGTTACTGTTTTTTGTTGTGCAGTGACTTAGTTTATCATTTCAATTAAAATGTTTGAAATTTATAACATTTCTTTAAATTAATTACCTTATAATTTGATACTTCATGGTTGTTCTATTTTTGGTAAGATTTGATCGTTCACTAAAAATTTAATAAAAGTGCGACAACATTGTCGCATAATGTTGTTTTCATTGGCTATTTATGTAGTTTGAAAATCACTTATTGCATTTTACAAAAAATATATACAGGGTGTAATATTTAATACGAATCCCTAAATTAATTTTTCCAAAGCCAGTCCTGGAATTTTTCAGTTTAGCTAATACCAGTCGAATGCTTGATAGTAGTGTACTGTATCATGTAAAATGAAATAAATGGTCAATTACACAAATCACCCTGTTAATTAATAAAGAAGAGGAGTTGACATTTTTTAGTGGCCACATGATATGCTCCCTGAGGGACTCTACATATGGTAGAAGTATGTAAAGTTCCTATGACTCACCCTGTATATATATATATATATATATATATATATATATATATATATATATATATATATATATATATATATATATAGATAGAGAGAGAGAGAAAGAGAGAGACATTTTTATTTGAAAAGAAGTTAGTTTGAATTGTAACGCGGAAATGTAGTATATAAATTACAATCATGTAAATAAATTATTGTACGACTTTATATAAATTAATAAAGACTTTAATGAACTAAGTGTTAGAACATTTTATAATAAATAAAGTTAATAAATTAGATTAATAAAAACAGTTCAGTACAAACCAATTGGTTTTTACCCCAAAAAGGAAACTTCACAAAAAAATATTTTCTCTTTCTGGTATTTTGCTTTGTAATTTTGTTTTTACTTACAAAAATTGAAGTGATTGTTTGTGAATGCAGTTAACGACTGGTACTCTGTTTCAACAATCGCTCTATAAAATTGTGTATGTAACAATAACATTTTTTTTTCGTAACCATTAAAATTAAATAAAATATTCTTCATATTG